TCCTTAGCTAGTGGAGTAGTCAGCTGGCGCAGTAAGAAACAAACTTCTGTGAGTCTATCTACCGTGGAGGCAGAATACATTGCTCTGAGTGATGTTTCAAGAGAAGTCACTTGGATCTGTGGGCTACTTCGTGACATTGGGTTTGAACATTTAGTTGTAGAACCCATCAACATTCATGTGGACAACCAGGGTGCCATTGCAGTTACTGAGAACAACATTGTGTCTGAGAGGTCCAAACACATTGATGTCAAGTATCACCACGTTCAAGAACTCATCAGGAATAAATTCATTATGCTAAAATATGTAAATTCCAAGGCAAATCGTGCAGACATTTTCACCAAAGTCTTGAACTCTAAGATGACCAAATATTGGTGTCAAAGCTTAGGGCTTAAGTAATCTATAATATTTGTTCATTTATTTATCCGTGTTGGCATAAGTTGTTTTAATTGAGTGTCATATGGCACTGTTCATCGATTCAGTTTGCAATTTATCTCACAGGATGTGCCCAACAAGGGGAGGTGTTAACATATAATTTTAACAGTTGTTTTATATGTTGGTCACATTGTGTTGTGCAATTTTTCATATACTCATTCTGATTATAATGTCCATTTATATTCTACACATGGTAGTAAATAAAATGTGATAGATGTCAGATAGGAAAAAGAAACTTCAGTCAGAATAAAATTAATAAAGTCAACACTCGTTTTGTTCATTGAGTCGAAATCCAGCTTAGTCAATAAAGTGGATAGTAATATACATTTCGAAGCAGATCAATGTTATTATGACCTAACATAGCTGAGGTGGTAAGTCTTATGATGGTAGTTTGTTTGTTGTGCACTTAGTGACAAACCAATGAAAAAACACGATAAACACCACGTGACCGATGGAAAATTTATTACCAGACTGATTTATATGTTGTACGTGCAGCCATATCGATAGATCTCCCTCTCTTCTAATTGTAAGTAGGTAAATTAGATTTCGATGTATTAATTGGAGGTAGTGCTAAACTAGTCTGGATTATATTAAAATGCAAGATCTGACGTTCAATACTTTTCAGAGAGTAAGGACACACTTGTACCCGTGGAAATTATTCAAATGTATTGTATCTCATTGCCCAAATTCGAAAAATAATGGTTTTACCTACGACCACTGTAGAAAATACACAACAGCACATCATGATACAAAGCCTCAATAAATAGCTTATTTGGACACATCTGAATACTTCATATATATTTATCAAAGTTGTGGAATATAAATATACAGGGTGTTTCATTGGGAAAGGTAAATAATTCAACTGTGGATAGGGGTCACTGGGGTGATTTCAAAAAACCCATGGTTGATGGGTCTTCGACTTCTTATAACCGAGATACAGGATGTTTCATCAATTTTGTCCATATCTTCATTGTCTCATAACTTTCCAACCAACCTGTATATATTTTCAAAAATTGGTACACTTGCTCAATCTATCCTGTGGAATTGATTGAGGCAACAACAAAAGATAAAATCCAGGTCCGGCTTCACTTAAAATTCACAAATTCTTTCTGTCAGAAAACAACACCCTATACATTCGAATTTCTCATTTTTTTTGCCATATCTGAAAAGAACATCAAAATTTCTATTCAGCGATGTGCTTTTTATTCGTGCACAGACGATTTTAACTATTCATATTATGTACTCAAAATATTATTTTTGCTCATTTTGGGGTACAAAATTGGAATCAGACGAGATTTATTAATTTTATTACTTCCTATTCAGTATACGTGAGTACATATTACATTTAGAAGGAGTATTTCATATCGTTCTTCGTTCCAAACTTAGTTGCAGGTCCGTCATCAAAACTATACAGGGCTTTTCCCGATAAGGGTTAATTAGATGTTTGTGGCAAACCAGGCAACGGATAAATCTGAAATTTCGATGGTATGTATAATTAACATAATCTACACTACTGAAATATTTGAAACGTTCCGGCGTTGCCGCTTCTACTAGAAAGTAGCAGCAACTTCGATTTTTCAAATGGGACACCCTGTATTTCATTACATTCTTGGATTCTTGCTGAACAGCAGAATTCATCGATTCAAAACATTCAAGGTCTAGCGGGACTGATAACTGAGATATAGGATGTGGAAAATCGAGATGTTTCAACTTTTGAAATGGTTTGTGTTGAAACTATTTATTATTGCATGGTCAAAACGGCTTCAATGTCCCTATCTCAACTTTCCATTCGATATTCAATTGAAACAGATACAGGGTGGTGCAGAAATCTGAATTATGAACCATCCTGTATTTGTTTCGATTAAATGTCAATAGATACAAAGTTAAGATAGGAACATAAAAGCCGTTTTGATCAAAAAATAAATATTTTCGCAAAATAATTCCAAAGTTGAAACATCTCGATTTTTCTCACTCTAAATATCTCAGTTATTAGTCCCACTAGACTAGAACTTTGTGAATCGATTAAATCAGCTCTTCAGGAAGCATCCAGGGTGTCTCATTTGGAAAATCAAAGTTACTGCTACTTTCGAGTAGGAGCGGCAAAGCCGGATCGTTTCAAATATTTCAGTAGTGTAGATTATGTTAATTATACATACCATCGAAATTTAAGATTTATCCGTTGCCTGGTTTGCCAGAAACATCTAATTAACGCTTATCGTGAAAAGCCCTGTATAGTTTTGATGACGGACCTGCATCTGGAACAAAGAACGATATGAAATACTCCTTCTAAATGTAATATCTACTCACGTATACTGAATAGGAAGTAATAAAATTAATAAATCTCGTCTGATTCCAATTTTGTACCCCAAAATGAGCAAAAATAATATTTTGAGCACATAATATGAATAGTTATAATCGTCTGTGCACGAATAAAAAGCACATCGCTGAATAGAAATTTTGATGTTCTTTCGAGATATGGCAAAAAAAATGAGAAATTCGAATGTATAGGGTGTTGTTTCCTGACAGAAAGAATTTGTGAATTTTAAGTGAAGCCGGACCTGGATTTTATCTTTTGTTGTTACCTCAATCAATTCCACAGGATAGATTGAGCAAGTGTACCAATTTTTGAAAATATATACAGGTTGGTTGGAAAGTTATGAGACAATGAAGATATGGACAAAATTGATGAAACATCCTGTATCTCGGTTATAAGAAGTCGAAGACCCATCAACCATGGGTTTTTTGAAATCACCCCAGTGAACCCTATCCACAGTTGAATTATTTACCTTTCCCAATGAAACACCCTGTATACAGTATGCCTGAAAAAGTCGGTAACAAATATGTAAAACTTTTTTATAGGTGATTTTAGAAAAAGAGTAAATCGTCATAAAAAGTTCTACGAAGCCTGAAACCATGAATAAAAATATCAAAGTACCTTTATTTTTTGACATAATCGAAAATTATTAGAAAGACAAGTTCACTAGAATTGAAAACTTACGTTCAAATATTCATTTACATCTATCTACAATATCTATGGTTTCATTATTTTTTACAATTTCTATATGGCCGTAGGTAAAGTATAGTACGTAATGCGTGTTATAAAGCAATTACGCACTCAATGAATTGCACACTCGCCGCTACGCGGCTGCGTGCATAATTTATCCATTCGTGCGTTCATGCTTCTTACAACATTTATTACTTGATTGTAACGTTGTCTAATATAATATACTCTACTTTTACTTCGTTCATTTATTCTTCATTACAATTACGAAGCTTATAACACATTGTGCGGACATGATGATTCTTAATGACAGATACATCCGTCATTAGTCATTGCTGTCAATCGTGATGTGAGTCAGGACCTAGACATCCGTCTCATGTCAGATAGCTCTGGAGAGATCGGCCATAGATAGCTATAGGTACGGATGTAACATACTCCCCCCCCCCTAAGGAACTAGGCAAGGACATAATCTTTAAATCCCTCAGGAGGCCTAGTAGGTGGCTTGATCTGGTACTGGTATACTTATTAACTCTTTTGATGTTGAAGGTCTTGGATGGTTGGTAGCGGTCTCCTGAGATTCAAAATTATTTGGTTCTACATGTCTGTTGAGTTTCTTCAGATGAAGTCTATTTCTTCGGTAGTGGGCTCCTTCTTTCCTCCCAATTCAAAATGAATTGGGACTCTCATCTTTCACAAATGTTGCAGGGACTCATGACCTCTTTTCCTTCTGCATCAGAACTGACTTACCTAACTCCTGCATATTTTTTGTTTGTCGATTGTAGTATAACTCTTGCTTTTCTTGGTTGTTCCTCAGTTTGTTTACTATGTCTGGTCTGGCATATTCAACAAATGTGTTCTCAAAATAGGTAAATTGGTTAGCATTGACCTGCCCAGGAAAATTTCTACAGGTAAAGGCATCTTTGGTTTGGGGGTACTATTGTATATCATCACCAATTTTTCTTTGTCTTCTTCAGGAGATTTTGTCATCATGTTTTTGATTGAGAAGGAATATGAAGAATTGGATAAATATATAAAGAAATATATTGAGAATTCGCATTCTCTGTGTGATGAAAATATCAATTCTTTCTCGGTTTATTCAACAGAAAACAACTACTTTCCTGGCACTATGCCACGACGAACATTGAATTATATCTATGTGTATCGGCGCAACGTCGCGCAAGTACGGTTCTGAAAACTCGGAACTTTGAGCGAGCATCGAGCAAGTTTGAAAGCCAGTGGAAATCATTTCTCGGCAAAAGTTCGCCCTTGAAATTATCATTGGACCACGCAGAGAAGAGCCATTCACCTTATTGATGATGCCACACTCACCAACTTCTTGATATATCATTGGAACACCATAAGAAAGTCAGCGACCTTTCACTTTTCTGAAAATACTTCCACGGGACATGTTCTTCAGAAATCTGGGATACCAGTAAGACGAACATGAAAAGCTCAGTCAACCTCGAGATATGTCGAACAACTCTTCATCAGAGCTCGTTTGGCTATAGAACGGAAACGCTTCGGAATTTATTTTTTTAACATGTCATGATTCATGTGTTTTTTACAGATGTGGCGATAATCGACCCAGATAAAAGAAAACCCGAACCGAAAATGGTACACATCCTGCCAGACGAGATGTTGGAAACTCTGGTGTGTGTGGATTGCCAAAAATATTTGTCAGTGAAACCAGTAATGATTCAAGCAGGAGGGGAGATTATATGTGGCAGATGCTCCGAGTACTATGATGACGGTGTTATTTCCCTATTTGGAATAATGGCAGATCATTGTCTCTTCAGGTGCGTCAACAGATATGACGGTTGTCAAGAACTTTTAACGTATCAAGAAGTTGAAGAACATGAAACCGAGTGTAAAGGTAGAGAGACCACTTGTCCACTTTGTGAAAGAACAGTAATAATACCAACTTATAAAATTATCAAGCATTTTGAAACTAATCACAAAGACAATGTCTTAGATGCACCGTGTTTTGAGATAGACTTGATCAGTTCATTGAGAATATCCAAGCTTTTTCTTTACAAAGAGAAGAACAGCATATTTTTTATCACTTTCGGGACATCGGGAACTTGTTTGATTCTGAACACTTATTTGTTGGGCTTGCCTAGAGAAGCAAAGATGCATTTCCAAAAGTACACTGTGAGTCATGCAAATTGGGAGATTTCTACAGAGGAAAAAGCATGTTTGGCCTTTGACTCAATGGATGAAGGTGGATTCTCCTTACCGTTAACAAAGCCGCTACAAAATAAAACACTTATTAACGTAAAATTGCAACTAAACTCTGCAAAATACACGGAGATAGTGAAAATCCCACATTCCCTCACTATTCAACCTGAACAAAATACAAAAAATGAACAGCATCATATCAATTCAGTAATTGAGAATATCAGTACTGGACGAAATATATTCCTCAGTGACAAGTTCCTCAAGTCATTCAAAGAATTGTCTATAGGATTGGATTTAGTTTCTTTGAGGATGGAAACTGAAAATGGTTCAGTAAATATCAAACTCTCATGCTATAATTGTTCTATGTTGGAATACTCCGTTATTTCCAATGATATTGATAAAATTTTCCTCATTAAAGAACAGACTTATGAACCAACCTATCATTTACTTTGTTATCTGTGTCACGTATATGTCACCAAGAAGAACATTAAATTAGAAAGTAACTGGGATTTGTTGAAGGCTTCAGTTGCCAAACAAATTCATTACTTCTGTTCTTGGAAATGTGGTAAATATTACAATTTTTCTTATGTAAATACACATGAATTATTATGTGAGAACCATCCTAGGAGGAAATATACTCAACAATACTTAACGAATAGATTTGATGATTGGGACATCTCTCCCAAATCAACCATACAAATAAAGATGTCTATTGAAAAATCACCAATAAAAATTCGTGTATGCGTGTCCAGCACTTTTGTTCGCCTGGAATTCAAGTGGAAACAGCCGCATTGGGAAATTAGCATTTCATTAGAAGATGAGAATATGCCTTCTTTCCAACCAAGAGCACTAGTTTTCAACTTTCAAAATGAATTTCTAGAGTTGGTGGAAAAACAGAGCACACTTTATCACCGGGAAATTTTTAAAGTCAAGTGCTACTTGAAAAGTTCCTTGAACACGCCAACTTGGGAGGAAGAAACAAGTGGTCCTGCTGGACCTAAAGTAGCTTTGGTCGAATGGGATCAACATGCCTTCTACACTGTGGGAGTTTCTGGTGTATGAAAATTTCGTCAATTCGGCGGTGGTGATTATTAAAACTCAGTCATTATAAGAGATACGAGGTCTGAATTTATAATTTTCGTTTTTATTTTTTCAAGCGGAAACCAAAAGACCTAGATGTTTCTGACTGGGACATTCTCAAGGCACTTTTTTACAAGGCATCTGAATCTGTCATTGTATTTTCCATGACGTTCTTGATGCCAAAGTTATAACACACAACTTTGTTTTTTCTTATGGGCGCCATATAGGATTTTTACTTTTCTGAAAAGTCTATTTTTTTGTTGATGATTACAATGATGTCGAGCTCATCTACTTAAAAACTATGGTTTTGAATTAGGAACGAGGCAATGAGCTAGAAGTTTATTCTTAGCAACACAAAACAAAGTCTAAACACAATTCTACGCGTTTCCTTAGATTCTGAATTGCTTGCGAGATGTCCCGTCTTCTTATCTTAGTCCTGAAAGTGGTGATTATGGGTCTTCTCAGCTCATCAATATCGATCGGTACAGTTTTGAAAATCAAATCTTTCAAAGTTCCCAATAAATAATAATCCAGCGAAGAGAGAGCAGGTGACCGCGCTGGCCAACTTATGTCTCCGTTGTTGGGAACATATCTGACAGACACTCGGCAACCCTTCTTGCGTTATGTGGATAAGATTAAGAATTCAATAGTTCTGATCGCATATTCAATTGAACTCAGTTTGTTGAATAAAACTGTTAGCGTTCCTTCCAAAGCACTCTTCGCAAAACTGTTTTTTTTGTCAATTTTGATCAACAGGAAAGATTCGATCATATCGTGTGATACATCATTGTAATCAGAAAAAAAAAGACTTCACAAATGCAAAAATCCGATATGGCGCCCATAAGAAAAGCAAAGTTGAGTGTTATAACTTTGGCATCATGAACGTCATGGAAAATACGATGACAGATTCAGATTCTTTGTGAAAAAGTGCCTTAAGAATGTCCTAGTCAGAAACGTCTAGATCTTTTGGTTTTTGCTTGAAAAAATGAAAACGAAAATTACAAATTTTCGTTTTCTCCGAATAATTTGAAAACTGAAAATGACACATCGAATTTTCTCGCAGATAAATGTTCAGTATGAAAATGCGAAACTTTGCCCTGATTTAACCGACCTCGAATCTCTTATAATAACTGAAATCCCCATGGTGAAGCTCGAAAACGGGCACCCTGTATACAGTGTTTTATTTCAAGTTGCCAAAATTCATTATTTTGTAACTGGTCGACCTATTGACAAAAGTAGATTATACCACAAGTCAAAAATGATAGCTATTATCCTCGAGATGTTTTTACGAACTGAGCCGCGTTAGCCATTATTGCGAGTAGTATACTTTACTTCGTTGACGACTAAACTATTCCCCAAGTATTACACTTTTGATTTTGCAGTCGTTGACAGCTTTCAAATTTTTACCTTTTTTGTCAAGCAGTTCTCAGGAATTTCGAATCAAAACTCGTACAAGCTGTTTCATCATAGTTTAATAATAATAAATCTTGTCTTAAATGTGAATTAATGAAGTTCAATTGAACGTAACATATGCATATAAGTACTGTATGTCACCAACAAACTTGTTTATCTGAAATCAACTGCTTGATAGTTCTCTGCGTGATCAGTTTCAAAGCATGAGTGGGTACTGAAGAATTATACAACACACACAGTACGTTATCATCCACTCTTAGTGCGTGACATTTGTGGTATTCGGAACACCAGTAAGTCTCTATACCGACATGTTCTGATTTTTCCTCGTGATTATTTTCTGCAGCGTTAGCTTCGGCGTTTTCGCTCGGTATCAGTTCATTGATGACGGCCCGGTAGAAAAATGTACGGAGGATATCTAGTCGGTGGGAGCTGCTTGTTGTCTTTTTTGAGGCCATTTGTGGACACTTCGACATCATGTACTTCTTAGTCGTTGTGTTCACTAGAAGATGTCTGAAAATTGATTTCGTTTATATCTGTTAGAATTGTTAGAAATACATTCAGGTTGAAAGAAATGTTGGTAACAAGAATAACGTTGATGACTGATGAACATAACGCTTTAAATAAAGTCAAAAAATACTTCTGTAGTGTGATATCGATAGTTCAATTAATTGAATAAAAGACATATTATATTTTTTCCAACACTAATCCTAGCACTCCATTTTAATTCGTTTTCTGATATTTCAATTATAGTAGGACAGTCGGCAGATAACGAAATGATATACAGAGAAGTGCACAAAAGCGGCCAGGATTTTAACTTTTGAATTATTCTAGATAGGGTTTTGAAAATTGGTGGGTAGCAAGTATACCAAATTCCTCAATAATTGATGAAACAATTTTTCTTCTATCACTTCCAGTTTCACCGGAAACGACCCCAACTTTTGATTTTTAAATGGAACATCCTGTATTGTATTCCATAATCGGTTAGGGATTATCATGACGAATTCAACGATACCGGGTTTGATAGGGTTATTTCGAACAATTACAAAGATATTTGCGTTCGAAGTTTCCATATGGTCAATGGGAGTGTCTTCGCAATATCAAAACTTCTTTCTCTGTCACACTCATTGAGCATATGGAAACTTAGAACGCGAATATCTGCGTAATCGTTTGAAATAACCCTATCAAACCCGGTATCGATGATTTCGTTATGACAATCCCTGACCGATTATGCAATACAATACAGGGTGTCCCATTTATGAATCAAAAGTTGGGGTCGGTTCCAGTGAAACCAGAAGTGATTGAACAAAAATGGTTTCGTCAATTAATGAGCAATATGGTATACTAGCTGCCCAAGTTACAGTCCTGGCCGTTTTTTGTGCACTCCTCTGTATGTCCCAAAGGAATGTAAAAACATAGTAGTTTATCGCACAGTACCTGTGCCAATCACGATCCTGAGCAAAATGATTGAAAAATTGTACTTTTCTGTGCGAAAAATTGCACTCGATTTCGCAATTTGATAACGCGATAGATTATACCAATTGAATGTCAGATCTCAAAAACCTACCTGTGCTACTCCTCAGTCTGAGCCAAATCCATGGCACAGCGATTTATTTGCTGTCATTATTCCGGACATACTTCCGTCATGTGTTAACGAATTGAAACAGAAAGCAAATAAAATGGGATAATGTCCCTTTTGCGAATATTCAAACGTGCCGCAATTTGACCTGATATAAGTTAGTGGCAGAGCGTCAATAGTTCCGAGAATATTTCGCCCTCGTCGAAAGATAATATCCGATGGACCAGTGTAAAATTCATGAGGTGTTCGCACTACAAGTATTCTGATCTACATGTTGAATTTTACACTGGTCCATCGGATATTATCTCTAGAGAGAGGCTAAATATTTTTGGAAATATTGACACTCTGCCACTACCTTGGATCAGCTAGAATCGCGGCTCGTTTGAATATTCGCAATCAGGACATTATCCCCCTCGATATGCTTTTAGTTTCAACTCGTTATCACATGACGGAAGTATGTCCGGAATAATGGCAGCAAATAAATCGCTGTGTCGTGATTTTCGATTTTTAGAATAAGAAGTATATGCTTTCAAAATAATTCACCATATTTCATTTGGGAAGGGTTATACATTTTATGCTATTTATTGGTAGAATAACTGTCAAATAGAATATGTCATTTGTCAAATACATTCGTCAATGTCGATAATTATGAACATAATTAATAAGTTGGTGAATCGAAGGGTCCAAGAAGTTGTTCTTCCTGGTTTTCAATAATTCAACATTGAAAAGTTTTTGATCTGATAGAAATACAATGATTTTGACAGTGGCGATTTCATTCACGTTTGACACATCTGTAGCCAATCTCGGAATATGAAATGTCTAACTCTTGAAAATATGGTCAATTACTCCAGCTATACGGAACTATTTATAATGGTTAAAAAACATCACTTGTGGTGGAAAAAATATAATATACACCTGCTTGTACCTTGGTGATAGGGAATATTATTACCACAGGACCTTATAGATATATGCTATAATGAATATTTTTTCGAAGAATTCAGTATTGGATTATGTTGCTAAAAATATTTTGTTTATGAATTTTTGAACCAGTGGTGCAGTTGATCAACTTGAAAAAATGTGTATATTATTCAGTCGTTTTCAACATAAAGAATGCCCTGAAAACTTGAATTAAGTTTTGCAAATCTATGCTCAGATAAACTTTCCGTCACCACTGTTTTCAGTGCTTTTAGGTAAAAGAGTGGATAGATTCTACGAAAATAATAAAAAAACACAATTTTTGGAGAGAGCGCTCGAAACTCATCAAAATTATTATGAGTGCCTATATAAAATACATTCATGTAGTATAGATAGATTTTTTTCAAGAAAGTTCACAATGCAAGTTTCAAGAAGTAACTTTAACCGTAAATCTGATATATGAACATATAGGGTAATCTTTCTTAGGATTCAAGAAAGTTGACTGAAATAACTATAAGAGACATTATGTTACTATGTTACCTTTTGGTTTTATCTTATAGTATTTTGTAATAAATAAAAATAATAAATTAAAATATGTTATATCGTACGGTATGTATGTACTGTATTACATTTTCTATAAATAAAATTATTTTCTATTATTCTATTCATAAAGTGTTTCATTCAACCTGAAAAGAAACGTATTGAAATATCAAAGTAATGAGCAATTCCTCAGACAAGTAACATGATTACTTACTTAGCTGTAATACCTTCATCCTCCTTTGCAGAACTTTCATACCAGACAAGTTAGTCAAAAATTTGTCTGGAAATCGGAGATACCACGAACCATTTCTTAACAATTTTACAATAATAACAAATTTATGTATCCAACTGGTCTAGTTGTTAACGCTTTTGATTTCAGTCAGAAGGAACCTGGTTCGAATCGCTTTGAACTAATCTTTTTTTAACAACTTTTTTTTTCATCAACGTTTCTTCACTTCATTCTGGTTTTCCTTCTTCAAGAAATATTGAAAATCAAGTAGGTTAGTGCGCCTAGGATAAATATAGTCTCATATATTTTATTGAATTTTGTTGCAGAACGGAACTTTATTGATCAATGTTCATTTAAAAAAAATTATAATCAACTAAAGAAATGATGAATTTCATATTTATAATTGTGTACCTGTAGTCTAGTGTCTAGTCTAGTATTTTTTCGGCCTATCGGTTATCAAAATAACAACACATTTAATGCATACTGTGTGGTTATGATTCCACCCGAATTCGCCGCAATTTTATTCGCATAAATTTTGCGGCATTCGTACAAGCATAACAACGATATCCAGTTATTTGCAGATGTAAATCGACATCTCTGGCAACCATCTGCTTCACTCACTGCCTTGTGACGTCATCTCCAGTGAGCGGCAATTTTCGTCCGTTTGACTGAGACCAACTTGATTTGTGATTTTCAGACCACAAAATCATTCAGATGAATTTCAGAACATCGACAGCATTGTGAAGGAGATTGGGGAAAAAATCTGACTGAGAATAAATTGTACCTACCCCAATATACTGCCATCTAAAATACAAGTTGTTGGAAAATTGCGAGGAACACACTGAACAGCGGCACTCAGAATATCCGTGGAGTTTTTGAAGCACTGCATGACAGAATGTTCTATTTCACTAAGGACAGGCGTCGCACCACAAAGGCAGCAGATTTGAACTTCTGGTATCAAAGTACAAACTACAAAGCGGAAAGCCACCTTGAATCAGAAAAAATGTTGGTTATTCTCCAGAAAGTATTTTTTTAAATAAAATCGGCGCTAGTCCTAACATGAAAATTTTTAAATTGAGATAAGTATATACCTACAGTTAGTAATGTTTAAAATTGGAATTGTCTATTTCTATTTCCTGTAGAGTTCCGACACCAGCATTTTTGATATTTTCTATTAACTCACAACCAGGATGAACAGAAGATGGTGTAGAAACTCCTATCAAATCCCATCTACTGTTTTTCGGTGAAAGTTCTTGGCCTAACGACCTACTGGACAAAAGGATTCTTCTTAATATCACGAATCAAATTAAACCATGAAGTCCATCCCTATGAGAAAAGGAATCAACGAAATATATACATCGAGTCCACAAGAACGAACATTGCTTTAAATAACCCCTCTCATTAAATGTATCAAAACTTTTAACTGTCTCCCAGTGGCTCTGAGGGAAGCCGAAAACATAAAAATATTTAAAAATGAACTGTCTAAGAGTATCTCTAGCAATAACATCACTATATACGAAAATCAGATTGGGCAGTAACAATGAAATGAAAAAGTGTAGACTTAAGAAGTTCCGAGACCAGCATTACATGCTGATTTGGAATTGTTTTTCAAATAGTGTCCGAAACATGTGTGTACGAAATTGAAAATAATCAGATTGTGAACTATTTGAATAAAGCCTTTAAAAAAAAAAATATAGGTTCGCACTTTACCCGGTAGATGGCAGAATCTCAACCAAAATTCAAGGTTGGTAAAACAGATGATAACTGAAATTCCCCAAAATTACAGTTTCGTATATACAAATGTAATCTCATTTGATTTTAGGTTATGTTATAAATGTTATGATATTATTATTTCTGGTGTAAACGCCGTTTTCTGTCATGAAAGAAATCTGTAAAAAGTTTCGCCATCTTGCGGACAACTGAGAATATGCCATTATTGCAGAATCTGCGGTCAAGCATTTTGGGGGAAATTAAACACTGTCTGTGATTACGCCATATTCTATCCACCTTGCTCACAACCGATTACTGAGAAATTATGTGGTTTAGTTCTTTCCACCACAGCAACATTTTGTTCAATAATATGGATTTTTTTCAATATTACGAAATCCGTGAAGGATATTTAATAAAATATGTTATAGAAATAGACAAATGAGAAATAAGTAACATTGCATGAATGGAGAACACTATTTCGCCAGTGAATATACAGTGAGATAGTATTTCGAGTTATTTCTCTTCTGAAAAATTGAACTTTTTTTGAATAGTTAAGTGTGCCAATAGAACATACTTTATTTGAGTTTTGGAGATTTTATTTGACTCACGTAATATCAGATAAAAATTTACTTTGGTGCCCTCCTATCCATTGTTTGACCTGTTATTGAATAATATATTAGTATTTTATGATGATGTTATGATTCTTTTCCAATTTTTATTGTAAAAGAAAACTTATTCACTAAAAGTTTGATTAATTGATTGATACTTCGACTATCTGCAGGTTGATCAATCTCGAAAAACATCACAATAATCATTTTTGTTTTTTGACCATTTTTTCTAGAACTTCTTAGGAACGTGATGTCGTGTGTTGTGAAAAATGAATTGTAAAATCATTAACAAGTAATGAAAAATTATTAATGTGGTGAAATTTCTGAGAACTTGCAAAAAACTGATGGCTCAAGAAGTTTCAAAATTAGTAAGGACAGCCGGCTTACTCTAGAAGGTTTTATGACATTACGTCGAATGTTCAAATCGAACTTCACTTTTGACATACAAATCATTAAGTCAAAATCTAGATGTTTACAAGAATATGGTGTTCTTAATCAAGGCTGGTCAAAAACTGATGACACATAAGGTTCTTGTTCATAGAAAATCCGTAAGAGGCGCTGATATCGTCATATTTTCATTGGCCACCGGACTAATACGTGAATGTTAATTTTTTTATAGTTTTTAATAAAATCCTGATAATTGAGTTCCCATTTCCATTTTGTCGTAAAGTTTTGGCAAAACGAAAGCGCATCAGTGCAAACACCATATTGTTAACTTATAAACATCTTAGTCAAAATCGATATAGTCATATACTCACCGTTGGACTTTTATAAGGCAAAAACACGGGAATATCTTTTGATTCATTGGTATTTTCAGAAGTAGCTAGAAGTGAAAGAAGCCTTATTTCGGTAGGGTGAAGCGACCACCAACTCTCAGTAGCTACTGCTATTTTTCCACATACAAGAATACAGCTGTACATAGAATCTAAACATTCTGTGAAAGATTCTAGCACAATCTGAAAACATAATAGGAGAGTGTTAAGAGTATTTTGAGAATGGGAAAGAAATCATAATGATAGATTATCTCTCCTTTCAAAAACAAAATGACTTTACAAATTAGGATAACTTCCTGAAATTCAGATACACATTTGTATCAGGGTGTTTAAGTTCCAATAGTAGAAGTGAGTGGAAGTAGTGAAACTAGTAGAATTCAATCTTTGGAAGGAGTCCCTGGTAACTCAAAGTGGAGTGGTGTAATTAATAGATGAAAACGCAAAGTCATCTCCAAAACATTTATTAGAATGATCAAAGATCAATCGTAAAGGAACATGTTTCGGGCTTATATAAGCCCATCATCAGCCAATAATCGATTTTTCTATGACTATACTTTCTATTGGCTGATGATGGGCTTATATAAGCCCGAAACATGTTCCTTTACGATTGATCTTTGATCATTCTAATAAATGTTGTGGAGATGACTTTGGGTTTTCATCTATAGTAGAATTTACTTCCAAAATATCTTAAATTTATTCGTATGTTTTGCTAGGGATATTGACTTGTGAATTTTATAGTTTTTGCAGTAACTGACAGAACTGTACTAAGGGTATATTCCAATTTCAACTGACACTACTGAATCTGCTGATTTTTCATTCCGAAATCAAAAAAAATCACAGAAATAAGTGACAGATATACTATTCCTTCCAAATAATTCGACTCAACATTCTGCTGACTATCTAAAGGTAGTGTGGCTTCAGTGAACTGTCCTTATTTTAGAGGGGGATGGGATGTCTTTGTTTTCCAAACAATAAGTCTTATCTCAATAATAATAAATTAATAATATCATGTACAGGGTGAGTCATGGGGAACTGTACATACTCCTACCACGAATAGACGCCCCTGAGGGAGATACCTAATGTCTACCAGAAAGTTTCTTCTTCACTTCTTTTCCAATATAAAATAGGGTGGATTATGATATTGAGCAAAAACATCTTTTGGTCATAACTTTCGAACATCTTCTTCGATTTCTCTGATTTTTTCTTGGAATATTCCGCTACTACTTTCTAATCGATTGACTTATTCAGAATTGGAAAAATCCAGGACCGTCCTTGATAGTTCAGTTTATAGCAAAAAGTTCATCCTGTATATCGTTTTTGTGAACTGCGAGAGGGAATTTTCAAAGGTCACAAACAAACATCAGAAATTAAATATTCCAAATATTCCTCACAATTTCACTTCAGTTTGAAAAAAACTATGAAGTGAGACTTACATTTTCAATGCTTCATCTCGATGGAAATCAACATATTATTTCATCTGCATACCTGGATTAAGAAATTCATTTTTTTGGTGGAGGATAATAATCACCCTGTAGATATTTTTCCAATCAGTGGATGGGGTATCTGTGAAAATGTTGATGGCCATCGCTATATATAATCTTATGATTTCAATTCACAGTATTATCTATTCGATTCGTTTTATTCAGTTAATTTGGTCACTTATTTACCGTACTAGAATTATTATCCGCCTTTGTCAGTATAGCTCTTGAAAAATGATTGTGAATAAACCTTTATTTTCAGTTCGACTATCTTGAATCATTTGAATCGATGACCATTAACATCTAAACTGATACCACTGATTCGAAAAAGATCTACAGGATGATTATTACCCTCCACAAAAAATGAAATGATGAAATCTAGGCCTGGAAATGAAAGAACATGTTGATTTCCATTAGGCTAAAGCATTGAAAATGTGAGTCTTACTTTTATTTGTCTTATTTATGCGTTGTGAAGTAATTATTTTCGAATGAATAAATTTGTTGTCAAACTTTCGTTTTTGCTTAAAATTTATCGTTTTTTGAAAAATTCAGTGAAAGTGTGAGGAGAATTTTGAAAATTTTATTTTTGATGCTTGTTTGTGTGCTTTGAAAATTCCCTGTCACAGTTAACAAAAACCATATATACAGGATGAACTTCTTGATAAAAACTAAACTATCGAAATATTTAAAAACGGTTCTGGATTTTCCCGATACTGAATATAGGTCAGTCGATTAGGGTTTAGTAGAGGAATATGCCATGAAGAACTCAGACGAATCGAAGGAGCTGTTGAAAAGTTATGACCAAAAGATGTTTTTGACAAATCTCATAATTCACCCTATATATTGGTAAAGAAGAGAATAAGACACTTTCTGATGGTCATTATAGGTATTCTCCTCAAGAGCCTCTATTCGTGGTAGGAGTATGTACAGTTCCTCATGACTCACCCTGTATACTGAATGCTGGTCTATACATGTATATTTTCCATAGAACTCCGAACTCCTTATATCATTCATTCTAAGATCAGTGTGTTTTTATATTGGAAGAATGTGGAAGAATATTTTCGTAAGCCGTATTGTATTGGATATGGACAACGTCAGCAATGAGCTTATATCACAAAAAAATTTCATTTCATGATTCGATAGAACTCACCCAAACTAGCTCACCACCGCAAACCGTTTCTTGCTGTGAGCTCACTATGTTTTATAAAAAATTATTAAAATCCCCGATTTTTCGGACCTCTGGAAACGAGGCGATGATGTGTGTGTCAAAACCCTAATACTGAAACAAGACTATTCCAGACACAGATGAATGATACATGATTTAGAGTGAATTAGCGCGAGATCACAGTTGAAAGAATTAATATATCAGTTGCCTCAGTCTCCGTCTGGCGTTTGGTATTTTCTTTCAACTATGGCGAGATGAGGTTTCTACGTCATAAGAGGGTCCGTTTTCAGAAGGTACTATTATTTATGTCCAAAAATAAAATATTCCAGTTATCGAATTATGACGTCAATCATTATTTATGTATAAAATGATCATTATAAACATGGTTTGACTTAAAAGTTCTACTAAGGTGTACACACCCATTATCACAAAAAAGATATAAGAAATTAGGAGGTATTGCGAGGAGTTTCCGAGGAATTACCGAGGAATTGCGAGGAATTGCCGAGGAATTGAGAGGAATTGCGATGAGGTATTACGGGAAAATGTAAGGAATGGTATTGTGAGGCATTACGAGGAATTACGAGGTATTACTAGTCAATATACTGAATTATGAGGCATTATTTTGGCATTGAGGAATTAGTGTACAAAATTCTGCTCAGCGAAATGCCCCTCGATTCCGAATTACAGCACTGTATATTTGATTTTATATTTCGGAACACAGCTTTTCAGCAGAGTCAGTACTGACAGTGCTGACCAGTTGAATTCAGAATATTGCCTTAAGTCGATATTACCTGAATAAGATGGTTTTCAGAACACAGGATTGTTTCAACAAATCCCACAATGTCTGAGGGAAATTTATTGTTAGAATCTCCACAGTCCAATGCATCCAGAAGTCTATCAATTACAGGAGAACATACCTGCAATATTCAGTGTAGTATCTTTTATATCACAAAAATGTTGTTATAATACCCTAAGTTCCCTTTTGAGTCTTTCAATGTTTCTCTGTGTTTCCAATTCTTTAATGCCAACAATCAGCACAATAGTGCTGAATACTTCCTTTAACAGGTCATTGAGGACATCTACTGAACAACCACTAGCTATACCAATGATGACTATACTAAAAATTGAGTCACAAATTACTGGCTGAAATAAGTCACATAAATTCTAACCAACAAATTACTTTAATTAACAGAAATATATTGCAGTTTACTGTCTATTTTTTTCGTTTAAAAAATTAATGAAACATTTTATTGGGGATGGATATACATATGTGTTTCTTAATGCTGATATTTTAGGAGGCGATTCTTGGACCCATTTGAAAAAAACTTCATAAAAAACGTATGTCCTCGCGTATGTCGTAAACGTCTTGACTTTCGAGATACAGGATGTCAAAGTTGATGAGAAATAATGAGTTTTAATCAATTACTAGGCAACCACAGTGCCGTTGGGGGAATATCATTGCTTGTATTTTACAAAAAGCGAACAAGGAAGAAGAATTCCCGAATTTCATAGCGTAATTTTTGTACCATCTCCGTTCGCAAAGCGTAGAGTGATAAAAATTAGCCTCCGCCGCGCAGATGGGTTTTTGCGCTGTGTTTTGCGAATTTATTTATTCGGACGTTCAATTCACACTTTTTTCGGTCTTCATTGGATATCAAGGCTTCTACTATCCCGAGACTCAAAGAGAAAAGTAATCGGCTTTGTATTATGCCTAACTGATTTTTCAGACAAAATAATTGCAAGCTAAATTATTGAAGGTGCTCGTAGTTTGAAGAAGGATTCTTTTCGTTGGGAAGATATCATATGTGCCTGCATTGTCTTTAGGTAGGTAGAGCTGTTCTTCAGACGATATTTTATTATTTTGCCACAAATGACCTGTGCAGTTTTTCTGTATGTGTATTATGTTTTATACCTACAGGGCGCTAAAGATTTTGTATTAGAGCTAACGTATTGTCTTGCTCGGCTTGAATTCTGATTATTTATAAGTTTGGTTAGATCTTCATTTTGCATTGTATTTTAGCTCGAAAATTATATCCCAACATCACGAAACAAACGCCGTGTGGCCGGCAGGAACCATAAAGCGGACTATCCTAATCTGGTGTTTTTCTTCTAAGACCACCACGCCCCGATTTCCCCTGAATTAAAGAGTCTCGTTACAGGCCATTCAGCTTTGTACAAAAAAGGACCTCTTGTTGAAACTCGATAGGACGAACCGTTTTCGAGAAAAAAACGGAAAAACGAGACGCGAGACCAGACTCCAAATTTGGATGTAAATGCTGAATAAACCATTGTGTAAATAAACAATAGAATTAGAAAAGATAGAACTCAGTTTCTTTAAGAATCTCAACACCATGTATCCTGGAAACAAAGCATTTTAATAGACATTTTCGAACCCATGTCCAAATGAATTATATTTTCCATTTTTTGATGTGCTGAATCAACCCTAGGCTTTTGTCAATGCAATCAAAAGAATCCTGTAAAATGCTTTTTCATGAACTCTTCAGTAATGGATTAGATCGGATTAGATAATTAGTCCTGAGGATAATAGTGAATATTTATCAAAATATACAGTGCTAATAAGGGATTTATGTGCGAAACCAGTCACATACAGGGTCGCTGATATGTATGGAAACAGGTGAATATCTCGGTAACCTGTTGTTGGTTTTTTTTGAATTTATGTACTGTGTGATTTCAAAACGTGGCTGATTTGAAAATATAATAGCCAATGTTGCCACTTTTTCAGTTATACCGGATTTTTTATTAACTTCCTTATTTTGAATAGAACACCCTGTAATTTATTGGATTTTCAGATTCTCCCTGAAGAGCTAATTCCATCGATCTATCACACTTGGGGTCTAGCAGGAATGAATACATAGGTATAGGGTGTTTAATATCTAGATTTTTCAACTTTAGTATTTTTTTGTGTCGAAACTATTCATTATCGATCAAAACCGCTCCAATGTTCCCATCTTTACTTCTGATTTACTATCTACTGACATTTAATTGAAACAAATACAGGGGGGTTCAAGATTCAGAATTCTGACCACCCTCTGTATCTGTTCCATTAAATAGTCAGTAGATGGTAAATCAAAAGTGAAGATAGGAACATTGAAGCGGTTTGGATAGTTTCTGCACAAAAAAATCTTGAAGTTGAAAAACCTAGATTTTATACACCCTATACCTATGTAATCATTCCCGCTCGACCCCAAGTGTGATAGATCGATGGAATCAGCTCTTCAAGGAGAATCTGGAAATCCAATAAAGTGCAGGGTGTTTCATTCAAAATAAGGAAGTTACTAAAAATCCAGAATAACTGAAAAAGTGGCAACAGAGGCTATAACATTTTCAAATCCGCCACGTTTTGAAATCACACTGTACATAAATTCAAAAAAATCTTTAACAACAGATTGCCGAGATATTCACCTGTTTCCATACATATCAGCGACCCTGTATATACAATATACAGGGTGTCCCATAAACATACCGACAAATTTAAGGGATGGTAGAGGACATCGAAATAAACATTTTTGCTCGATAAACATAAGTCCCGAAACTCTTCGTTTCCGAGATACAGGATGTTAATTTTTTTTTAAATCGATTTTTTATTAATATCGTAAAAACGATTTAGTCGAATTTGATGAAATTTTTACAGATTATTGATACATTTATAAGGTATCTTTTGGAGCTATTAGAATTTGCCCAATAATTTCAGGGGCGTGCCCACGGGCACAAAAAAAATATCGCCCAGTAGATTTTTTGTAATTATGATATTTTTTTTCAAATAATGCAACTAAAAATGCAACTTTTTTGTCCGTTGAAATTTTTCCGAATCTATCTTCGTTTTGAAGGAAAAAAATAAAAACCATATCTCTTACATCTACATATGAATTTTTTTTTGTTTACTTAATAATCATAATGTCCGTTTTGGCAGAAAAAAATGGAAAAAATTTGGGTGAGTTTTGTTTATTCAGTGTTAAATAATTAATATTGATTTACAAAAAATATTCAGGAAGACATTAATAACTCACTTTGTGTTTATGATAAATAATAATGGTTTATAATAATTGTTCAAAATGTTGACCATTTGCTTCAATGCAAAGATTGCATCGTCGGTTCGTTTTTACGATATTAATAAAAAATCGATTTTTTAAAAAAATTTCAACACCCTGTATCTCGAAAACGAAGAGTTTCCGGACTTATGTTTATCGAGCAAAAATGTTTATTTTGATGTCCTCTACCATCCCTTAAAGTTTGTCGGTATGTTTATGGGACACCCTGTATATATTCAGTAATAATAAACATGAACCTCAGAAATATCAAGACGAACAAAAGAACATATTTTTGCCAACTCATTCTTGAATTTTCCAATTTTTGTTTTGGACAAACAACTTGCTAATATGGTCGATTTGATGAAAAAGGCGACGCCGTTGTCTTGTGTTGTATTTTCATTTTTGATAATAATATGATAGTTTCTCATCAGTAGAAAATTTCCGAGAAAATACGAAATTCCCAGTTTGAACTTGAAATGTACTGGGATACAAAAAATGTCATTTTCTGTGAGCCACAAGTCAGAAATTCAGAGTAGGCAGTTGGATATCCTGGAGTTGTACTGAGTCTTTCATTTTCAGATTAAATGCCTGTAAGCATTTTCTGAATTGAATCTTAATATTTCCAACCCAAAATTCCGAATTACATTTTTTTGACTTCAAAAGCTTTGAATTCTCTATTCATCAGTTGGAAAGTTTGAGTTTGCAGTCCCTAGTTTGAACTGGAAATGTAATTTTACTTCTTTCAAACTTGGAAATTTCTGACTACAAAATCGAAATTGTATGTTTTTGAAGTTGGAAATTCCTAGTTTGAAGTAGGAAATCTCTAGTCAATCCCCCCCCCCCATGGGCCCGTCCTTGTATGTCTTACTTAATGGAAATTTGGAAATGTTGATATTTAGATTTTTTAAATAAATATGCATAGATATATAAAGTTAACGAAAATTACAGAGAAACATAAGTAGTTGCCTACCTTTCTTCGAATTCTTTCCATGCAACTACATAATCATCAGTTAGGGTCTCCAACAATTCAATTCCAAAAGATTTTCCAAACATATGGACTCCATTCAAGGAACCTATTATTGGAAAAGGTAACTGGAAAAAACACCAAGAAGAAATTCAGAGCCCAATTCATTTATCAATTGAGGGTGATTTTAACTGAATATAAAACAAAACAAATTTATTGTAGCAAAAATGCCACACAGGTATCAGATAAATCTAGAAGTTTTTACCAATCATTGAAGACCAAATCAAAATTACATGCATTTTTAGAAGCAGTTAAGTAGGTTTTTCACTTTTGGTAGTAAACTTTTCTTCAAAGCAATCAACTCACTGTCTCAGAATTTCCCTTCTTCCTAGAAAAAATTGGGAGTCCCCCTCCTGATGTGCTGCATACTAGGTATACTGACATTTTTGATCTTCCCACACATCAGAAAATCTAATAAAATTCTTTCATTTAACAATTTATTTCAAACTACTGAAACATGATGTCAATGAAGAAGACACTTCTCAGTTATAATTATTGAATGATATTAAATGAGTTCATTCATGAGATCATGAGATTAATAATCACGAATTCATGATATTCGAAGATAGAGATAGAATTAGAATATGAAAATAATTGGCTATTCGATTTTTCAAAATTTTGTTTGTTTTTATAATGATGGATTTATTGTTATTTATTATTGGCAGGTTGCAGTGTTGCCGTTTCAGGATGTCAATTTGTACTAGAAGTCGTTCCGAAATTGTACTGAATTCAAGTATATTGTACTAAATTGAGAAAATAACACTTCAAAATTTACGATTCACAAATTTAATGAAAATCTTCATGTTCATTTATACAAATTTGATATAATAATATACAGTACATTGAAACACCTTTGAAAAACGTAGGTCATGGAACAATTACTAATAAAAGCCGAATATAAGAGATGAAAAGGAACAGATAACAGATATCACAGATTGATGTCAATGACGGCTAAATATTTAGCCTTCATTGATTGATATCTATAAGAAAAAATCCGACAAGTTGACAAAATTTTGACTGTTTGGGATGATGGTGAGTTCGAACAAGAACGATAGACCATTCTATCGTTCTTGCTTGATTACTATTTCACGGATATTGTTACGATCACGATGAGTTACGATATAAAATCTATTACTATTTGCTGTTAGCACCAAAATATGATATTTCGTTACTAAAAAATCTATTTCTGTTTTCAGCGAATAATTATGTTCTGCTCTATTTTCTATATTGTCATATATGTCATTAGTTCTGTGTGGCTTCTGCCTCATTCCTGTCAAAACTGTCAAATTTGTGCGATAGGGTTTGACAAGGATGACATACAAAATGTCAAATGTCAGATTTTTCGAGTCTATTACCTTTTGATACAAATTTTTCCAAGGAAATCTATTACGAAAAAATCAGACCCAGGAACAACACTGACTGTAGTAAACAGTAAACAGAAGCTGTCGTAGCTCGTAGAAGTCGTAGATGACAGATGTTCTGTTTACTATTATTGTTGATATAATTATGGATGTGGGTTTGTGTGAATTTGATTTCCTAATAAATTGTTGAAATTTCTTTGATTGGGACAGTTTTCTAATAAAAAATATATTTGAACATTATCGTGAACAAAATGAACGCTTCTCATTGAAATTATGGCAAATTTGAAACCAGGAAATCAAAACACTCGGAAAAAGGTTCAGGTAAATTCATCTTGTTTATGAAAAGTGCCATTTTTCAAGCCAGATATTTATGTATCTCGTGTTTTCAGGTTTCTATGGTAATATGTGCAGCAGAAGAGGAAAGGCATAGGTCAGGTGTGAACGCCTTACAGTTAGACCCTGCCTTAGACAGGTTATATTCAGCAGGAAGGGATTCTATCATAAGGGTTTATGAACATGAAAAATTCCTTCATGGAATGGAACATCACACCGACTGGGTCAATGATGTTGTACTATGTTGTGGAGGAAGGCACTGTGAGTCATATGAGTAGGAAACCAAGTACCTATCACACCTAGCAGTAAAAGTAGTCAACATTATTGAAACAAACTGATATTAGGCCTGTTCATTTGTGTTTGATCTACCTGCTAAACTTGATTTTTTTCCATGAATTTCTCTGCTTACATTATGCCATGAACAGAGACAACTATGGGAACAAAATCAACTTTAGCAAGTTGCAAGCAACACAAGTGAACAGACCTTATGAATTCATTTCTAACCTTATGGCCTGTTCATTTGTGTTTGCTCCACCTGCTAAACTTGATTCCATGAAAATGATATGAATACAATCAACTCTAGCAAGATCAGCAACACAAAGGAACATACATTTTCATTACACTTATTTGACTTCAGTGATATCTGCTAGCTCTGACACTACTGTCAAGGTATGGAATGCTCATAAAGGATTTTGCATGTCAACATTACGCACCCACAAGGACTATGTCAAAGCTCTGGCTTATGCTAAAGAGAGGGAACAGGTTGCCTCAGCAGGACTGGACAAATCTATCTATTTATGGGACATCAACACTCTGACGGCCCTGACTGCTAGCAATAACACAGTAACAAGTTAGTGCAAATCAATTCAGATGCCTTATATTGCAGGTCCTACTTTTGCTTTCATTGAAAATGTTATATTAACTATGCCACATATTCAAACATAACACAGTAATAACATGAACCTCATTTCTGAATTATTATAATTTAGGTTGTGTCTGTGCTCAAGTTTGGTGGACAGCAGGATGAAATTATTTTATCTTGTAACCTGCTCAATGACAGCCTTTACTTTATTTATTTATACCTTGAAAAAATATGGTATTGAAAACTGAATAGTTGAAATTCCATATGCATATAATTTACAGGTTTTCTATAAATGATCATAGTGTCTCTGCTCATATATTGTTTAGAGTCTGGGAATACCAGCAACTTGGTTTTTTTCTAATGGAACACCATGTATATTTTTACATATTCAAGTTCAACAGGTTAAAATGAGTGTAATCTTCATGTCAAATGTAATTTTTTGAAAAAAAATCAATTAAAATTGTTTTTCCTGTGATGGGAAAAAAGTTTCTCTCTGTTGACAGGTTATAAAATTTACTTTTTCCCACAGGAACAAAAGTGAGTTCTGTTTCTCAAAGTTATACAGTGTGGTCATTTAAGTGTGCAACATGTGGGAATCTTTTTAATGAATTGCACAACCAAAATACAGATAGTGCCACAAGTTGGTGCATGTTTGATAATCATTATAGGTGCACTTAGAATGGTCGCAAGTCACACAGCATTCAGGGTAGGTCAAAAAATATATAAATTGCTCAGGAGTAAAGTACCCTTATTTCAGAAAATTCGGCAAAATGTTATAGAAAAAAGTTGTTTACAATTGAAAGTTATGCCTAAATACCAAAACATGGCCTCCTAAGACATTTTTTAGTTTTTCAATTTTGTTCCTGAATAATTTCCCAATTTGTAATTTTTTAATATTCACCCTGATTACTTTCATGAGTTAATCATAACAAAATCAGTTGAGCATACCTTTGTTCAAATTCCAGCATATTTTTGCAATTAACTTGGATTTTAATTTTTTTAGGGAATCACAAACTTAATGTTTGTTGCAACGACATTCAGCTTAACTTTAAAATTTTGCAAGCCATATTTTCAACAAGGTAAAACATCATTAATGATAATACGCATATTCAAAAAATCCATTCAATGTGCACATTTTGTATTTAAAATATTTACAAAATTGAAAAACTGAAAAATGTCTTAGGAGGCCATGTTTTGGTATATAGGCATAACTTCCAATTGTTAACAACTTTTCTCAATAACATTTTGCTGAATTTTTTGAAATGAGGGTACTTTACTCTACTGAGCAATTTTTATATTTTTTGACCTACCCTGTATGCTGTGTGACTTGCAACCATTCTAAGTGCACCTAAAATGATTACCGAACATGCACCAACTTTCGGCACTATCTGTATTTGGTTTTGCAATTCATTAAAAAGATTCTCATATGTTGCACACTTAAATGACCACACTGTATACTAACACTGTTGATGGCTTATGTGGTGCTAGTTTCAGAAATAAGCCAATATCATCATCTCCAAGAAAGAACTGCAAGTCCTTTTTATCTTCCATTCCACTTTGTGGTTATGTTGATTACTAAACAGCTACTAAGTGCTAAGTTCACAATTTTCAAAAATAAAATCACAGAATTACACTGACATATATTTGATCACTGCAGATGCCTGCAATGCAGGTGTAATTCCTGTTAAAAACTTGAAATTTCACGTTGATAATTTTCTGATTTTGATATAATGAGATAGCTTCTCAATATTGATTTGTTTTTCTTCCTGTTACAGAAGCAAATAGTCTATTATACACGGGAAAAATATTAGATTTTGGCTCAAAGTTTTTTACCAACAGCACAACCTCCTGCTAAAATCTACTACTTTTTTTCAATGTATAATAAATAGTTATTTGTTTAACTAGGCAGCAAAGTAGTAGATTGACTGCCGTGGCTGAATTCATAGCCGAGCGTAGCGAGGCTAGGAATCCAGCTAAGGCAGTCAATCTATTTTGCTGCCGAGTTGAACATATAATTTTTTCTCCGATTGTTCATAATTATATGGGAGAATATTGTATTTGCGAATTAATACAATCCCCACAATCTCTTTATTCTTCCTGTATAGTGTTCAATTAAAATAAAATTTGATAGAAATCGCAGTTGTTGGTTTGACAATTCATGAAAATTCTGACAGTTGTGCGAAAAAATATCGGTATATTTAAATTATCATATAATGGACAGTGATAGCGACCTGGAAGTATAATTACACCTCCATTAATAAGGGAGGTGGCAAAAAATATAGAGTTGAATTTGTTGCCGGGGAAGTCTCGGATGAAATATGAAGGAAATTATAAACGATTTATGGATTTTTAATTTTGCTGATACATATCAATCAGCAAAGTAACCACTTTGCTGCCTAGGCAGCAAAGTACCCACTTTGCTGCCTAGGCAGGAAAAGTAATACTTTGCTGATTGATATGTGTCAGCAAAATTAATATTTGCTGCCGATCGGAGGAAATAACTATTTTCTATGGCTATTACACAAAATTGCTCTTGTTTTACATAAATGAGGTACTTTGTATGTCATCAATTTAATTTCCGCACAATGACTCCATTGTTTTATTATTTAAAAAAAATTCATCGCTCATGGAATGTCAACTATGAAGCAATAACAGATCTGACAGGAAATCAGATGGCTACAAGACGAAGTAATAAAAAATGCCACTGATATCTGTTACAGCCGTAGAAAAATTATAGTGTATATCTGACATGGAATGCTAATTTTCCACTCCAATGATTGCAGCATTTGCCTACGGCTCATGCTGAACTCCATTCTCGTGGGAAACCACTATCATTCTGTGCTCGTTAAACAATATACTATTTTTTGTTGTAACTCCAGGATAAAGAGGTGTGCTTAAGGCTATTCACAATGCCTAGCACATAACAAAGAAACAATTTTTTCTGATATAAATATTTTGTATGTCACTTATCAATGAATCAATACAGTCCCATCACATTTTGTCCAAAAAATCTTTTTTTTTTTTTCAAATAGGCATTTTCATCTAGATATATTTTTAGGACGCATGCGCTCATTTTTGGATCCAAAAATTCATTGGGTTATGCGAAGGTGAAGTCTCATTGGCTATAGTTCCAACACTGAAATGCTGATTGGCAATTTCGAATATGGCGGGTATTATTGACGTTCTGTCAAATGTCAACAGTATCATTGGCATTCATAATGTTTCATTTTATTTCAATACAGATTTTCACAGTGAGGTAGATGAGTCAATGTAAAATAAAGTGGAGCATACTATTGATATTCTATTAAGAAAAAGCCAAAATGATCATTATTATTATTTATTTCACGTGTTTTGTTTTAATAGAATATTAAATAATGTACCTACTAACAAAATGAATAGGTAGGAATAGGAACACCCTATATATTTTCTGACATGTCGATAGAGCTCTTTTTTCTAATTAAAAAAAATATGAATTGCATATTTGAATGGAAAATAATTCAGTTTTTGCTGATCAAAGTTTACCAAAATCCCGCATCTTCCATTCAAACTGTCCATTCATATTTTTTTGTATTGAGATTGAACGATTTCAATTTCATAATAAACAATATCATGACATTTCCATAGAGCCTAAACAATATATAAACATTCCAAAGCCCAGTATGTTCAACTTACATTATCATGATATAAAGCGGTATTTCGGTAAACTTTGATCATCAATAACTCAACTATTTTTCATCCAAATATACAACTCATATATATTTTTGAGATCAGAAAAAAAGGCTGTATCGACATGTCGGCAATATATAGGGTGTTCTATTGAAAAAATCAAAGTCCATTGTCTTTCTGGAAAAACTAATGACCCTGTATATTGAACAATTTCACGAAATTAAACTTTGGGTCGTTTCAAAAAACTTCTTCATTCAACATACTTTCAACAAAAGAGTTAATGGGGTTTCCATTTAATAGGCGCACCCTGTAGACCCTTTTGATGAGTTCGGTTCTATTTTTGAGGTAGGATTCAATGATACTTCTAGAAATTCTCCTCATTCCATATCATTCCATTTTGTCTAAAAGTCTATTATGACTGACGCAATCGAAGGCCATTTTCATATCTTACCATTCTTATTTTGATTGGTGGTAAGTTATGGAAAGTTGGTGTCCAATAATCAAAGGTGTATGCTTAGATCTAATTATGATACTGATTATTTATCAGTGTTTCTGAGATAACAAACTTACAAATGTATACAAATAATTGTTTATTTGTTTCTTCCAGCATCTAGTCTCATGGGTAGCAAAGAATCTATTTATAGTTTAGCCATGAATCCCTCTGGCAGTATAATAGTCAGTGGATCCACTGAAAAAGCTTTAAGATTATGGGATCCTAGAACTTGTGCCAAACTTTTCAAGTTGAAAGGTGAGTTGAAGTTGATAAAAGCACATCCAATAATAATTAATTTGATTCCCAATCTGCCTGGAACATTCGATCAAACTCAAATTAATTATTACTTTCTACACACATCCCATGTCAATTAACATTGATAAATTATTCTCACAATATCTGGTGTATGGATGGGTCCCAGGTAGCACATCAATGTCATAATGACGTTCTAATTGGTATATAAAATTGATCAGCAGACGACAAAAATGACGTTTGGGAGCTTTTGCTAGACGACTGAATGACGACAAATTGTTACAGTCAAATGACCTATGGAGGATGTCAAATGTAAAGATTCCTATGTGATAAAATAACCAAATTTTGATCAAGGGGTGTGGGAAATTTTAGGAGGGGCTAGGAGTATTTTTTCCCCAACTTTTTAGTTCATGCACGGCGCATGAACTCATGAGATCATACATAACAAACAGATACCAGAAAACTAAAATCAAAGATCACTTGAGTGGAAGGCAACCTATATCATGCGGCGTGCCTCAGGGCACTGTGTTGGGGCCTTTGCTGTTCGTAATATACCTGAATAACCTTTTCCTCAATCAAAGGGCAGCTCATCTAGTCAGCTTTGCCGACGACACTGTAATACTCTATGAAGGCGATAACTGGAATGAATTAAATGAAAAAATAAAAAGTTATCTTCCTGAATTGTTAACGTGGTTTGATAACAGACTCCTATCCATCAACTATAAAAAAACATTCTACTTACCATTTTGCAGCTCATCTTCTCAACCTCCATTCCAAAATATTGATCTCGATAACAACTTGCAAATAAAATCTAAATCTCAAATAAAATATCTGGGCATAATGATGGACAGTCACCTCCGTTGGGACAAGCACATGACCTTCTTAGTGAGTAAGCTGCGTTGTGTTTTATACAAATTCAAACAGATAATGAATGTTATCAACTTCGACCAGAAGAAGACCATATATCATAGCCTATTCGAATCCCATCTCAATTATGGAATAATAGGGTGGGGTGGAGTGTATCGAACATACCTCAAACAAGTAGAAGTGATCCAAAAGAGATTCCTAAGAATATGGCTGGGAAAAAACACACGTTACCCCAGCGATGAACTTTACATGGAGGCGGATATATTAGATCCCAGACAACTATACTTCTGTGATGTATTAACAACCCAGTTTCTGCATCAAAATGAGCTCAAAGAATATACACATAATTACCAAACAAGACGAAAAAACAAATATATACCACCATACATGAACAAAAGAATAGGTCAAAACTGTTATCAATACATAGGCCCAAAGATATTCAATACAATCCCCGATAACTTGACAAAACTCAATTCCCTTAATAAATTTAAGAAGGAAGTGAAAAAATACGTTAGAAGTGTACCAAGAATTGAAATTCATAAAATTTTAGAACTATGACTTCAAAATCACATCGTATCTTAGCTGAGTATTATAAAAATCCGCATAAAAAGCCATGCTTTACTTCCTTGCCTATCACTGTTACCATTTTTGTATATATCTTACTCCACTTCAAGACTTTCTTGTATTTTTTAACGAATTTTATATTTCATTAATCATATTTTTTATTATGTACTATATGTAACCTGTACTTTACAATTCATATCTTGTCTTTTGTTTTTGTTTTTTTGATTTTTTTTTTCTCATATGTCATATTTAAAAATTGATCGTAATCTTTATGTGAACTTTGCATTTTATTTTATTCCTATAATTTATATATTATTGTGTCGATTTTGTATTACTGATTATATATATATATATATTTTTTCTATTATCTCACACACAAACTATCCTTGATACTCATGTATTTGAGGTATGGTTTCGTGAGTATTTCGTTTATTTACATATGCTATCGTTACTTATGCACATTGTCTTGTAAATGATATATTTCTTCGTAAATAAACTATACTATACTATACTATACTATGTAATTTTTGACTGTTTGACCAGGAAATATTGAACAATGTTTCATTACAGCACTATGAGTACTCAAATCAATGTATCTTATGCCTGACCAATGTTCTTTTCTTTATGCAATTATGCACCATGATTTTATTAAACTACATGTGTAAGTATGAACAATGTCCAAACGTTTTAACATGAGAATTATATTTTGCTAAGTTGACAGAAAAGTGGATCTTGATCACCAACTTGAATGAATAAACTTGAATCAAAAAAGAGGTTACTGGTTTATTACTGAAAATATCGTCAATAAGGGCGATTTTTGCATATTTTCCTCCATTGAACATCAGTCAACATTATACCTTGCCTATAAGATTTTTCTCACAAATATAACTACTATCTACACTCACCGGCAAAAAAACTGGCCACCAAAAAATGCTTGCCATATTGATCGTCCAAATCGTACTTGGGCGAAATTTCATCAGAATTGGACAAGAATTAAAAAAGTTAGTGGGTGATCAATTTAGCTACATTTTTGCTGGCCGTTTTTTTTTGTCGGTGTGTGTAGAAACTTCAAACTTCAAGAAACATCTACTCCAGTAATATTGACATCTCATCACATTTTTATAGGTTTTTTTTCTTACAATTGCTATAGACTTCCATTAAGTACTTGACAGCTGAATCAATTGAGAATAATTTTCATTTGAACAAAAAAAAAAAAGATTTCATCTTGATTGTGAGTCTTATTTTGATGAGGTTGATTGATTGATTACCTAATTGATATTATATCTCAACAAGCCGAAAATCACGGGCAAAACTTTCATCATGACAGCGAGTAATGTTTTTTGGTTTTCGGAAATATAATAGTCGCGTTTTTTTGTGATTCTCTGGTGTTTGAATGATGTAGGGAGGAATAAAACGGAAAACACTGAAGAATTACATTGATGTGATGACAACCATGTGACATTCACGTCCAATCGAAATCAATAAAAAATATAAAAGTTTAGATTGTATCAATTTGTGGATTTGTGGATCTTTGGATTGGATCAATTGGATTGATAATACATATTGAATAATAATTTTGGTACGTGGGTGTATTCTACTATGATAAATCAACAAACATCCCCTAGAAATCAGTGTTATTCGATAATATCAAATTTTTATAGTACCTATTAATGGAAAATATTGAAGTGAATCATGCAGAGTGAGCACCATTTTAAATATGGAAATGTGAGTGAATTGGAACCTTTATTTGTTGGAGAAATCCATAGATTCGTTAAATGACGTCAAAAAGTGAGATTTTGTGTGAAATTGGTATTCCTAGACTCAATACAAAGACCTTTCAGAGCCATGAGTTATTTATGCACATTTTCCTCTTTTGTTTGCTCAATATGATATATGACAGGTCCCGAATGCGCACGCTCCATGCCTCCAAGGAACCAAATTCGATCGCGTATATAGAAGAGCTTTGATCTTATGGCATTAGCGGTCTAGATACTAGTTTATATCGGTGGTTTTCATTCAAAACGATACTGGCCCAGCAATAAACCAAGCTATACAATATTTTTATTGCTAACTTTCTCAGGTCATGCTGATAACGTCAAGGCGTTAGTTGTGTCAAAAGATGGAACTCAATGTCTGTCAGGCAGCAGTGATGGATCTATCAAATTGTGGAATCTTGGATCTCAGAGGTAAAACACAAAGAAAAATTAACAAACAAAAAAGGTGCTAATGTATTTTTCAGAAATATTCAAACAATTCGCGTTCATTCAGATTCTGTATGGGCACTTTTGGCAACTGAAAACTTTAGTCATGCAATATCAGGAGGGAGAGATAAGAAAGTGAGTATATCCATACTAGGTGTTATCTTTTCAGTTTTATTGGATACAAATATCATTTTCCAATTAACAATAGTAACTGAAAAGATTTCAAATATCTGGACATATTTGGTATTACGTATTATTGAATAGTTTGCCTTTAAAATGATCTCTATAACTAATTATTTATTCAAAATTGAGATACAGAGTATGTTTTCTCAATGGGGAAGTTTCTTTCAGATGAATTTTCATAAAATAATTTCTGAACTGTCCAGTTTTATGTCCGCGCTGTATAGAATGGCGACCGATAAAGTCGTTTTCATTTTCAAATTAAAGCAATTCATAATTTTCGGGGCGGCAAACTGTGACGTACATTCTGATTCTAGTCTGAAAATAGCTGATGGTGAAGAATATAGCTCACGAATAGCTAACGAATGAAAAACGAATGAAAATAATAAAAGGAGAAGTAAAACTGGTAAACAAAAACATACATAACCACAAATGCACTCGGAGCAGGAATGCAGAGGGTAGTTGGCTTCATTCTGACAGGTTATGGTTTTTTTATTTATCCATTGAAATATCTCGAATAGAGCTCGATCCTAAACGAGAATATCATTGAATCAATGAATCACTATCGAGTATCGGCTACATTCAATGATACTATCCTTCCTAATTTACTGCATCGGTCAGAACAGAATGAAGCCGACACCCATTCCTCTTGTTGTGCCTGTCAGTATTTTGAGTGGTGTGGATGGGCTCGAAGTATTAGGCGCTGTTGCAAGATATAATCTGCAACTTTCCTAGAAAATAGATCCGTTTTATTAAGGAACGAATTCATTAGCAAAAAATGACAAGCTATATTGTAATATAACAGTAGTGAAAAATTGTAGATACCATCGCATAATATCATAATTTATCTTTATTAGTAATCAACTTCATTCAGCCAATGAGAGATTAATGGGAATTATTCATAATACTTGACAAAGTAGGATTGAAGAACCTATTATATCTCATTGCTATTATGATATAGTGATTATGCATTCAAAGAACAATATCCGGAAATCTAGACATATTGATGATGTCGGCAACGTCGTACTGGCACAGGGAATCATATTTCAACTCTGTGTGAAAGTGGATTTTCAGGAAGTAAGTCATAGGAATGGTGGAGGACCCAAGTTCCTCTTTTATTTATTTTTTTGTGAAGGGAAAGATCTTATGAAAAAAAGAAAAAATACATAAATATTCATTATTTACAAACTTCACAGTGAGATAAAAACCTCAATACAGGAACCTTCCCCATTTCTTTCAAATTTATCATGTCTCTCCTCTCGAATTGTTGTTATTCAGAAAATGGTGAATATTTCAGCATACATAATAAATATTTGTTATCTCAATCTAACTTCCCAAATTTCCAGGTAATAATGACTGACTTGAAAAATATCTCAAATAGTATTATAGTATGTGTTGAAGAGGCACCCATCCTGAAGATGTGTTTCACAGCAGACCAGCAAGCAGTTTGGGTGAGTTATTTCTTGTGGAAAAATTGTATTCAATAATTTCGACTGTGGTCAAATGAAATCGCTCCTGTTTTCATTAAAATATTCCACATTCCAAAATGAATGAGATATTTCATTGAAATAGGTATACTGGGTCAGTCGGCATAATGTGATGAAGTATAATTTGAAATTGACAAATACACCTACCTTATTACCGCGATTTGCTCTTGAGTTACACAGGGTTATACAAGGTTATACATTTCTCTTGAGACCGGAGCATCTTTATTAAATTAACATATTCTTCTAACATGAAAATTTCTTCTGGAGCAGAAAAAGCGTCAAGAAATCTACTTTAGAACATATTTGCAAACAGAAACATTTAAGTTCAAAGGGGGCATCCTATAAGTTTTTGACATGTCAAACACGGTTGATTACAATTTCATATCCTTACCTCTATAAAACTAACCCTTGTCGAGAACGCGAAGTCAATTTCGCAGCTGCTACCCATTGAAACAGCTGCCAAACGAAACGTCACTTCCGGATTTGAAATTTCTAAATTACTACAATAACAAGATAATCTGTGTTAGATCATGATCAGATCATTTTTCCATTTCCTCAAGAACTGTCAATAGTATATATTGCATAATAAGAGTTGTAAAACGCATATTACGCACAAATTGGAGAGAGTTATTACACCCGATACCACGTAGCGGCGAGTGTGTAACTCCACAAGTGCGTAGTAACTACAACTCGAGAAATTTACCATACTTTTTCTAGGACTACACCAGCATACATACATTGACTACACTATACTTTCCTTCAGGGTAGTATTACAGATATTGTGTTGAGACACAAATATTGAATACGTCTCCCGTCACTTTAAGCTTACTGCAATAAAAGATTGAAATTACAATAGGCGAATGGACTAATTTTTTTTATTTCCTAAATAGAATCCACTCAAATACCATTCACTTCCACATTTTTTTAGAATTTTTCGTTCGATTCTTAGGTGCTAAAATCATCAATGATGCCACGGTAATTATCAAACGAATAGAAATTTACCGCGAGTAAAAACTGACGTCACGATTTCGTAAGTAGGGGCAGACCATAGCACAGTCGCCATGTGTTGAAATACGATTGGGAAATTGAGAAATATTACGTTTGAAATGAGCTCCGAAATTCAACAATTTCGAACAAGGCATTCACTCATTATTTACATAAAAAAAGTGTGAGAAGTGTTGCAATTCAGGTACCTAACGACATAGTGGGGTAATTGAATGCTAATAATTCATTATAAGTCCACTTGCCCATTCTTGTATTTTGTACTCGTGTATTGATAAATTATTGTATAACAAGCCATTTCCTCCAATTTGAATTGAAATGAAGCCGCTTTTCATATCTCAACAACTTTGCTTTTATAATAATATAACATCAACATTTTAAATGGTCATTTATAGTCACTGTGCAGTTTTTGAAAGCAACAGAATATATCCCCAAAATGACATGATATAATCCTGGGTGTCCAGTCCATGAATTTTTCGTATCTTTCAGGAGACAACTCATCTGTTCCTCTCCAGAATTTCTAGTGGTGTAGAAGTATCAACAGAAAATTATTATTTCCAAAAAATATTGCTTGCCTGCTTTCGGTTTCGATTGATAACTTGATTTACTAATGAAAGGATAAGTACCTACTTATCTAGCGATAGGTAGGTATTGAAATTAAGTGAAATGAAATAATGAATGTTGGTAAAATTCAAACTAGTGTGTGACGGAACACCCTGTCAGCAACAGGGTTAATATGAAAATTGATGATATTAACATATCGCTAAACTTTCACAAGGCGGATCAATAATAAATGTACTAAAAAATTGTAAAAATTGTAAAGCTAATTCTCGAAATATCGTGTCATATATTTTTCGAAAGCGCTAAGCATCGATATTTCGAATATGATAAAATATACATTTGATTAACTCTGTATGTTATTCTTCCGCGCTCGAGTAAATCCTAAAATCTCCGCTTGGGATCCCCTACTATTATCTTGACTCGGCCCCTATAGCCACGGCGATGACTTATCTTTCGGTTTGCTAAAATGGTATTTCGCGGCATAGGCGTTCAAATAACTATTTTGTATCGGTGTGGGGATTTCACAAATCACCAGGGTGTACCTATTCCAATTTAGCACTCAACCAATTTTTCCCAATGTTTGTAATCCAGGTGTCTTCCTGGGATTCGAGCATCAGATGTTGGAAACTGCCCACAGACAAACATTTCAAAGAGGAGGCCCGAATGTCCGCCGCCCCTGTGTCTCAGATTTCTGGCGGGGCGGCAATAAGGCGAGCTAGCGTCTTGAATGACAAGAGGCACATTCTGACGAAAGATGCTCAAGGAAATGTTGCAATATATGATGTTTTGCGGGTAAGAATATAGTCTTAGACGATTCGCTCATGTGGACTCGATTCAGTGTGGCGCTTGCAGCTCGCTAATTGGTGGGTTGAAAGTCACTGGCCTGTCAGGAGTTGCCATTTATTCTTCATTTACAATGATTGCATTTTGTTTGTTCAATTCTAGTAACAGTGGTGGGAACAGAATGACTTTTGCAAACAAAACGACAATCTTCATGACCTAGCATGAGAAAAGGGATGATAGAGGTTAAAATGTATTGGGGCTCCGAATAATTTCAAAATCATAATACTAGAGTTGAAGATCAAGAAAATAAATCAACGCATATCTGGAGCAGTGCTTGTTCTCAGAGATCGAGAGAATTCGTTTTATCTGGGAATCAAGATTTGAAACCTGTCTTCAGTCTTACTTGGAAGAATCGTAAACTTGTGAACCTCACGATGAAAATGCCTTCTAATCGTCTCCTACTTTCAAAACGTTTCGTTTTTAATCAATCTTATTTCATTTTTTGACAACTGCCAACAGTCATTCCACATCATTCCTTGTGGCGGAATCGGATAAATAAAACGCAACTAATGAATCATTGAACGGGCGAGCAACGCGGCTACGCAGTTAAAGCCTAGATTTACTGGATGGTATTAGTTTGATAAGAGTTCGGACACAGAAATGACAACTGTTAGTGTTTTTGAATGTTTAGATTTATTAAGTTACACACCTTGCAATGTGACAAGAGCATCATAGTCGTTCCGCGCTTTTTCATTCAAAATTGTTTGAATTTGACAATAAATTCTATGACCGTCAGAATTGAAATATAATTCCATAAACAAGTCAGAAAAAAGCATAAATAAAAATGTCGCTGTGTAATGGATGGTGAAAATTCTGAAGAGAATTGATTTCATTTCTTTAATTTTCCAAAGGAAACATCAACCATTCCTTATAGAAGGAACGTACGAAACGGCCTGGATGGAGAAATAATTTGAAGACAGACAAAATTTTTGAGGTAAATACATTAAAATCCACCTTTTATAACAGCATATTAGAATGAAACTATATTTTAGACCCATTTTCAAACAGAATTAATTTACAAAACAGACGAAAAGCAAAACAAAATTATCATGGAGAAAGAGGAATTGATTGCAAAACTAAATGAAATTGAAAATTTGAGAACGAAACTGACGAAATCAAGTGAATTGCAAAGTAATATATCATTTAATTTCAATGTATCAGTGAAAAGTGAATGCAGCGAAAGTGGGAAAATTGAAACAATCTTCATATTTTCAACTTAGTCACTCGGGTACAGTTTCACATGCAATTAATAAATGAACAAGCTATAAGTATCTCCATAAGTTTTTATTTTGTCATATTGAAATGTTGTTCTGCGAAGAATGTATCACTATGAATTTATATTTGGGTGTTTATACCCTATTTCTATTTTCAATCTACGGCTATGAATGATTTGACAGAAAATCTAACCTCTGAAATCGTATCTGACAATCAGGCGCTATTAAAGCCTACTATCAAAATGGCGAGAGTTTAGTGCAAACGCGTCGTGATTTTTTATAGCATTCCAATATATCGCGCAACCAACTTGATCCGTCAAATAACAAGATTTAAAAATGGTTAAACAACCTCGAGCAAACTGGAACGACTTTTAATAAAAAAGGTGGACGCAGGTGGTAGTTCCAAAACATTTCGATTCCCTGAAATAATCTAACGTGTTCGTGTTCTCGAAACTGGAATATCAGGGCAACGAGAAAGCCAACATTCTCGCCAAACAGAGAACCGAATCTGTGTTCATAGGATCAGAACCATACTTTGGGGTCTCCACAAGTGCGGCCAAAACAGCTATCTCACTGGGCGGAGGGAAAAAGACTCACGCACTGGTCTGAATTACCGGGCAGATCCTAGAATATGAACATAAATAATTTACAATCGAAATCTGGTTCTATATGTGAAAATGTGGAACATTGTACTCAATATGAAGAATAATTATTGTTAAAGGGAATGGTTCTTATCCGAATCAGATATTCCAACTTATTCTACATAGAGGAACTTTTGAAGAACTATTGAATATGATCTCATTGCATGTGAACTCTCTCAATCATCGAATTGAATTGTGAGTTTGGTGTTTTTATGATTCAGGAGGCACCAAAAAAACGCTGTGATGGATGTAAGCAAATGGATTGAAAGAGGTATTCCATTTCAACAGGATGGGGCACGTCTACAGTACTCAATACAAGTTAGAGAATACCTAGACACCCAATTCTCTAATCGCTGGGTAGGTCGTGGCGGCCCTCATTCTTGGCCTTCTAGGTCTCCTGATCTCATAGTATTAGACTATTATCTATGGAGACATATGAAACGATTGGTATATCAGACTGAAGTCAACACCAGAAAGCAACTGAGGGAGAAGATAGTTACAAATTCAGATGTGATCAGAAATAATAGGCAAATTATTCTAGAAACCATGAAGAGATGCATAAATTGTAAAAAAAGGGGAGGACATTTTGAGAATCTTCGTTGTAGAATAACAAGATACAGACAAGTCCGGTCCTGAATTTGTTAATTATTTATTGAAAAGAAACCTATGCTCAACCTTGCTGTTATATCAATATGCAAAAAAAATATTTTAATACTTCAAAGTAGAATGTAAGTGCCTGGATGAAATCGAACAAACATTCATCAGTATTTTCTTTGAATTTTTTTTTTCACCAAATCGGTCGAAGTGTGCCATACAAATTGAAAAGCTGCACTTGTAGTGTTTTTCCCGGTTTTTCCTGATCTTTCTGATTCTGATGAGATTTGAAAAATACGACCCAGAATGTCAAAATTATGACATTTATATAGAAAATGAATTTTCACAAGTCCGGCTCTGGAATTTGTTTTCCATAGTAGGCCATCTTATGGAGTGTCAGTAGAGGTAAGTTGCTGGTGAATTCCAGGCGATACCATCGAGACGTTCCTGAAATATCGTTCATCAAAATTCCGCCCCAAATTCAAATAATGCCCTGTATATATATATCAATCCACCTTGACTTTCTCTATCCGCCATTAGGCTTATGTCATGACTCACCATGTATATAACGACGCATGCGCTTGCAATCATCTTGCAATGACGATTTCAAAATTCGAACGTCATCTCATGACACTTGAATGACACCTTTCAAGACAATGCTTGTTTTGAAATTGAGTGCAGTTCGGTATTTTGTGGCGTTTTTAGCTCAAATGTTGCCTTTCACTGCTAAGAACACAGGCTAGAACGATTAACGGTATCCTCTATTAAATTGATAGAACTATCCACCAAATTGAAAACAAACAAAATGCACCATAATGAATTATGCATGAATTCATAATCACTAATTTTCAGGCGAGGAAAGTGGATGACTTGGGACAGGTGAATTTTGAAGATGAGGAAAAGAATCGGTTCAAAATGGTATATGTTCCTAATTGGTTCAATATAGATCTGAAAACTGGGGTGAGTTTTCTCTTTTTTATTTGTTGATTAATCTGCATCATGAACTATAATTAGCGTAATAATACTTGAATATTACCATTTAATACATAGCTAGCTAGTTTTTTTCAGAACCTTCATTTTTCGAATTTGATATTTATTCATTCGTTTTGGGCGCGTCAAATTATAATTTAGTGACATCAGATTATCATTCAAAATACAGGGTGTTGCAGAATTACGTTCGTATACTCCGGGAGGTTATTCTGCAGATGAAAATAAGAAAACATGTATTTATCAACATGTGTCCCAGTTGGCTGAATTCCTTTATGGACATCATTGGGGTCTATCCCCCCATGTGATAGTGTGGGAGTCCCCTGACTCCAGGGTATACCCACTTAACACTCCACCCCGTTTTTAGGCTCGTCTGACTGATGTCTCCGACGATACTTATGCCTAGTGGCCCATTGTATCTTACCTACATGCTGTTATCAATTTTACCATATGGACTTACCTTCAAAGGACCCTAGTGTCCTTACGAAGCATTTTTAGACAAATGTTGATAAACACATTTTTTCTTATCTCTGAAAAATTACCTGCCGGAGTATACGAACTTTATTCTGAGACATCCGGTATGTCGTAAATAGCAACTCAACAAGGATTTCAAATGTAGAATGTAGAATGAAACAGCAGAGCGGTATTCTATGAATTATTTTCCTCATTATATGTGACAAAATTCCTAGTTTCATTCTTTTTGTGCAAGGCATCCGTTGATCCATACTGGAAGAAATGGAAATGTGAGAATTGGATAGGCACCTTACTGGTTTTACTGAAATGACCAACCTAATGATGCAATAAAATTGGCAAACCAAGATGGGAACAAATTCATAATTTAATATGCTTGTGTTTTGGGCTACGCCTGATACAAAATTATGCTTTGTATATTCAATCTGTCCATACACTTGTGATAATATTCTTGAGAAAACTTTAAGTTTAGTATATTTTTTGAGCTTTCTGCATTTTGTTGAAACACAATTTTCTCAGTGGTTTGTGCTAATTATGTCAGTACAGGAAGGATGTAACTTGAAATTGAGTTTTCAATAAACCTTTTTGGACATAAACAATTCAGATTCCCCAATGTGTCAATAATGTTGAGTCAACGTATCACTATTTCTTGGTAAAACATTTCACTGATTTGCTTGTGTACAAGTGAATCTCAGGATTTGTTGTAATATAAATATAAATGAAATGTTTTGTGATCATTTTCTCATAAACAGACTTCAACTGTTACTTCACGTCTCAAGTCATAATATTGGTCAGTTGTAATATTGCCTTCAACATTAACCAATCAAAGCGAAGGTCAACGCTTCTCTATGGTTTTCACTGCATCTTTTTTGTTGGAATGGACAATTTCCAAGGATTAGACTTTTCGTATTTTGAGGTTGGCTACAATGATGTCAAATGTGAATAAAATCTGCGCCACTGTCAAATATATTGTATTTTTATGGGATAAAAACTGTTAAATTGTTAATAATTGAAAATAAGAGCGAGAACAACTTCTTGGCTTCTTCCTTCTTCGAACTAATTATAATTGACATCGACAAAATACACTCAATTTGGTAGGAAATGCTGCCAACGAATAGCACAAATTACCTGATCCTTTCCAAGGGAAATATGGGCAAATTGTAAGAATACTTTGAGTTGATATTGTCTTATGTTCCATGTCATTAGATTATATAGGTTTCTGTGTTCTATGCATCTTGTTGAAGATGTCAATGCCTGGTAGAAAAGAGACCACTCATTTAACTACTATCTAGACCAGTATAATATGTCATATCCCAGCAACCCGAAAATCGCATCCAAAATGCTCGCCCGAAAACGCTTCTGCTCAATGCGCAGGAAATCCCAAACGGTATTTAAACGCTCTATTAAAGCCAAGTTCTATTTCGTAAATGTATGAGCTCTGATCTTATGGCATCAGGTGCCTAGTTAGTAATTTATATCGGTGGGGGAGATTGAGAAACATACAGGTTAGGCTAGTTGGCCAGTGGGCCACAGAGCCGTAGCTAAGGGGGGCATAATGGGGTAACAAATAATGAATAAACCGAGAAAGAATTGATATTTTCATCACATAGAGAATGCGAATTCTCAATGAATTTCTTATTGCTAGCTGTTCATGGTCACCATGTGGCCGGAAATATGAAAAAATAATATTGAAATTAGGTTAAGAATGTTGATTGACAGTATTGACGTGACAAGTACTATTCAGTGGTATCAACTATTGTACCAACTGCAAAAATTGTGGCAATTTTGAATTTTGAGATTGAAATGTTATAATTCTGAATTATCATTGGAATCAATCCTAAGGGAGTTGTTGTCTAATGTCAATAAATATAACTGTTTCACAAACACTTTAGAGTGAGAGGCGACGAGGATCTGTCCGTACCCTGTTAAGACGACTTTAACGTCAATTTCCATCAAGGGACCCTAGTAATGACAACATTACATATATGGTTGTAAATAAAAGATCTTAACGCTTTTTATGTGAAGTGGGTCTCAGGCATTCGTGCCTCAAGAGAATAACGTCATCACTATTCCTGGGATATATAGTTTTGAGAATGTTTGCCTAGTGAGAAAACATATAAAATCATAAATTAATCATATATAGAGCGTGTCTCACTTTAAACGGCCCCCCCTCTATATATCAGTTATTAGTCATGCGATTCCAACCAAATTTGGTGTGGTATGAATAATCATCAATATGATCAGTTTTACAGAGATGCACATTATTTTAGACAGTGCCGTGCGTTTTTATTGAACTGAAAAGGGGTCGATTTTTCATAAAATCATATTAGGCATTTTTTTACAGGAAATCTAACCTCATATTATTGTTCCTCATGCTGTCGAACCTCCATATGCAAAAAATCACCTAATTCCGAATTAACAGGATTGGCTTCATTTTCTTCATTTTCAGTTTCAAATAAATAGTGACTTCAAATCAACTACGAATTTTGGAACGTTCAATGGCTCCGGTAGGTGAAAAATCATGATTTGGAAGGAAACACGAGTTATACTTTTTTATGTTGAACCGTTTCCGAGTAAATAATTATTACGTTCGCAAAAATGCTGTTTAGGTGTGCGTGTTTCTCTGAAACCCTTCATAGGCATCTCATGTAGATCCACATATGTGGGTTTGAAACCATGAAGAACAATATTATGAGGTCAGTTTTTCTGTGAAAAATGCCTAATATGATTTAATAAAAAACTGACCCCTATTCATTTCAATAAAAATGCACGGCACTGTCTAAAATGATTTTTGTCTTTAAAGAACTGGTCATATTGATGATTATTCATACTGATACAAATTTGGCAAAGATCGCATGACTGATAGCTGAGATATAGAGGGGTGTTCGTTTGAAATGAGACACACTGTTAATATATCAAAAAGCATATAAAATCAATCAGAATGGTAGATAATGGAGGCAATTTTTACAATAACCTACCAACTGACATACAGAATATCGACTGTGATACTAAATTCCAAAAAAGTGTTGAGCAACTTTTACTCGAAAATGTACCATACACTACCAAACAATTTTTAGAAGAAGTTTTTATAATGATATTCAACTGTTTTTAATTATTTTTTGTATCCTTAACCAGATGTACATGCCTTAACTTTGTCGATAAGATCTATATCTTCTGACATAAAGTATATTTTGATTGGATATGATCGATTTGAGATAAATTAATGAATTCTCCGGACATGTATTCGTTTGCTTTAGATGTTAACGATCCATTTGGGGCAAGACGAAGTGGATTGTTTCTCGGCATGGGTGTCTGCCAGAGATGCCGGCATCAGAGACACTCCCGAACCCGATCACAAAGTAAACTATGGGAAATTGTTGCTCCAAGCCCTATTCGAACACTGGAGGGGTGTCGAAACCGATCCAGAAAATAGAATGTATTTCAGTGTGCCCAAACATATACCTCTCATTTTAAGGTATTGTACAATTATTATCGTAATTTATATTTTCTTTAAGAAAGTGAATTTCATTGAATTTTTTGCGATACTGACATCACGAGTTCTATACAGGGTGTATATAAATAACTACTGAAAATATTCAAGGGGTCATTCCTTGTGATATTTTAGGATATAAAGTCCATACAAACATGTGTCCTAACTTGTTTCGTTTTCGAGATACAGGGTATTAATATTTCCATGAAAAATCTTTTTCTATTCATTTCTCAATTGTCTTTTCATCAATGTCAATAAAACGTTGTGGTTTTGTTGATTGTAATATGGAGCTTCTTCTATCGCAATTAGATTCGAAATAATATGTCCAGTCTTATATTTTTATTAGATTGAACTATTGAAATAACAATTTTTTTTTATCCTCTGCGTGAATTCGTATCTAGCTTAGTTTTTGAGGAAACAATAAAAATTCGATTTGACTCAAAATTTCAATGTAGGTGTTTTCAAGACTTCCATACTTAATAACTCCAATTAGAATCATTTGGAAATTTTGGGGCTTTCTCAGTCTCCATCCATACTGAAATTTTGCACCATGAAAGCTTATACAGGGGTGTTATAAATGAAAACAATGAATACTTCCAACTTCAACATCCTGTATCTCAAAAAACGGAGCAAGTTAGGACACATGTTTATATGAACTTTATTTGCTAGAATATCACAGGGCAACACCCCATGAATTTTTTCGGTGTTATTTAGATACACCCTGTATAAGCGTCTTGTATGTTGATCATGAGCATCATGACCCAAGAATTTTGAGAGAGTTGTCAGTATTTTTGTGTTGTTATAAATGCTATTTATTCCACCTTGTTTATAATAATAATAATAATAATGATAATAATGATAATATTTATGTTCAAAGTCAAAGTACACATAAAGCCATAACATACAGTTCATAGTGTAAGCGTTGATTGATATCGTTGATTGATATATTACGCTTACGCTGGGAAGATGCCCAACCTGTGTTATTCGCGAGTCGATGCCCCGCTCATCCCCTCGTCTATCTTTTTGCCACTGTGAGGTAGCGTCTCCACTAGGCACACAGAACATGTCTGAACTAATTGTACAGATTACTACAATTTTGTACAGAATTACAGATCCCATCTTACCGCGTGCTATCGCTCCAGAAATTTTTGTTTATCCTTGTCTTCTACGATGAGACCCGACGCGCCCGACCGGTTCTGATAAAAAATGTTTGCTACGGTCGGTGAATCCCATGGACGTATATGGGCAATCCGCAATCCGCAACAATAACAACGGGTTGCGAGTATTGATTTTTCCCTCGGTTCCTTGCGGAAGAGAGAAGAACATATTATGATCTCTCACTCAGTTGGGTTCCTACTCCGTGGCGTTTTTTTAAATTCCCTTGTGAATGACTAGACCAATATATATGTATATCTGGAAAAACATCTCACGCCTTTTTGTTGAATATTTTTTTCACTCAATTTGTATCCATATTAAAGTTTTGTATTAATAAGACATTACAAAATATTGATAATATAATTAATCTGAATGTGATAATAATTTCTTAGAGTCTCATCAGTAGATAGAAAATAAATAGTCAGATATCTTTGAATCTTTGATTGTTAATGATTCACTATAAAAATGAAATAAAATAAGTCATCATCTATATAGGCATAATATACAGAGTGAGTCATAACTATTGGAACATAATATATAGAGTTCATTTATTTATTGGATTACAAGAGTTGAAGCTGCAAAATATGAGTTCTTTTTTGGTATATTTGAAGAGATAAAAACAAATTCAACAGAAAACAGCTACATTTCCAGTCCACATGGCACATATGCCACGATTTATAATAATCATGAAATCGGCGTTGATATTTTGTGATACCAGTAACTTTTTCTGAGTAGAATCGATTTTGCCGCTCCAGAACAACGGAGTACAGACTACGGAACGCTCAGAATCTCCGCCCTAACAACACAGGGATGTTCTAGGTACGTACCCTTTTTGTCACACGGTACAAGGACATAATTGGGGAATCCAGGGGATGTCCCGCAGTGGTTGTCCAGTGGACATCCGGCCCGGTACATCCATAGGTTATCCTTTTCGTGTCCCTGGAATATCTGCGATATCTATTCACATCAGAGTCATTGACTTTCATCAAAATATTGAGTTGAATTTTGATGAAAATGTTTGGTTTTTTTCCGGTAAATAATTGTAATGAAAATAAAGAAAATTGTCTCAGAACTTCTCAAGAAATGACCATTTTTCGCAAACAGAAATCGTAAATGCATAATGCCCCTCATTTTTAAATATCCACGAATGATAATAATAATTATACTCAAATCCTAACAAAGTTGTATTTATTCAGGTTTCTGCAGTTTAGTCCTGTTTAAAAATCTGTTTGGCACATAAATCTTCAGAAGGCATATATCATTCAATGGAGTGAGGTGCGTGCCTGATAAGCTAAAGGTCCCGGGTTCAAACCCTAGTCGATCGACCTACATTTTTTTTTGTCGAAGGGATGTCCCTGGAATATCCTTGCGACCTCCTAGGGATATCCTTTCTTCGTTCTTGGTTGATATCCCAGGGACGTACCAGACGGAAATCCCTTGGATGCTTTTTTGTCAGCCAGCTGATGTCCCTGGGACGTTCCTAGTATGTACTCTGTCCCGGCAAAGGATATCTCTGGGATGTCCTTGTATAAAATTAGAGACGTCTCTGGGAAGTCCCTAGGATGTACTTGTGTTGTTAGGGCGACAAACGACGGCTTGGCAGCCCTATCGCCGACAAACGCACCGAGTCGGCCGCCCCACAAAAGTCAAAGGAAATTATTGGCACTCCAAGTTTCGGCCATACATAGGTCGGATCATATACAGTGTGTCCCACTTACCATGCTCACCATGGGTATCTTTTTAACGGTTAGAGATACGAGGTCGGTTAAATGACACCAAATGTGGAGTTTGTCAAGGCCAACTAGGTATAATGTGAAAAAATATTTTGATAAAATCTATTCGTTTTTGTTTTATACGCAAAAAACAGATTTTGATCATTTTCATGTCTCCTCCGTAACTTCTTTATTTATGAAAATATCCAAATAGGAATTTCACATTCTCATGGCAGTTATTCAAAGTGATTTCGAAAAAAATATGAAATTTATATTGTTTGGTTGAACACAGATTATACACAGATTCAACACGTGAGGAATTTAATATGAAATCACACTTGTACATGAAAATTATAGAAATATCAGGAGATCAATAATTCACCGAGTTGACATACATTTAACATATTATGTGACATATATTATATAGTATCTTGACACGACCAATATACAGAGAGATTTAGTCTAAAATAGAATTGATACTTCAACACCCTCTCCCAATTCTATGTTACATCATTTGAACATTTTCCAAAAATTCTCTAACATATTGAACAAAAACATGTCGTTCAAAAACTACTCAGATAACATCTTAACAGTTTGGAGTTTGGGAATTGAACATTTTTTGAAATTATATATTGTATTCCATAGTTGAAACAATTTTCAATATTGTTAAATTTGAATTTAGATAAATTTCAATCCCATTTCCCCCCTAAATTTCTCGAATTTAACTACACCCAAACCTTTGGTTAGTACATCAGCAATCTGATTCTCAGTGGATATATAATTCAATTTAAATTTTCCTTGAATGACCAAATCCTTAACGAAATGATATTTGACATCCACATGCTTAGTTCTCTTAGTCTCCAAAGTTTTGGCCATGTGGATACAAGATTGGTTATCTTCCATAACAGTTATTGGAAACACAGATTCATCCAAAATTTCCTCAAGAAGTTGGCCCAAAAACAAGCATTCACACATACAAGAAGCTAAAGCAATGAACTCAGCCTCACTTGTAGAAAGAGCAACTACGGGTTGCTTTTTAGAATTCCAATACACAATATTATTATTCATTTTAATGAGAAAACCTGACACACTTTTTCGATCAATAAAATCTGAAGCAAAATCAGAATCAGCATAGGCTAAAATATCTATATTTGATTTACTACATTTCTCAAAACACAATCCCAAATCTTTTGTACCTGACAGGTATCTCAAAACATTTTTTAGTGCTTTCCAATGAGAAATATTGTAACAACTTTGGAATCTTCCAAAGTATGCAGTACAAAAACAAATATCTGGTCTGGTACCCAACATCAAATACATCAAACTTCCAACTAATTCCCTATACTGAAAATTGTCGCTTGAATTCTTATTTTCTATTTTTATCAAGTTTAACTTAGGTTGAATAGGCACCTTAGCGACCTTAGAATCTCTCATTTGAAAATGTTTCAATAACTTTTCAACAAGTAACTTTTGACTTATTTTTACAGAATTTTCAGTTCTCACAATTTCAATTCCAAGAAAGATAAACTTTTCATTATTAGTAAAAATTTTCACATCAAAACATTTCATCAATTTCTCTTTTATACATGCGACTTCATTATCATCACTTGATGCAATCAACATATCATCAACCCAAATTAAAATGAATGTACAGCCATCATTATGATACAAACATGGATCAATCATGGATCGTTTAAACTTCAAACCGACAAGTTTTTCATTCAACAAATCATTGAAACACTTAGGACTCTGCCTAAGACCATATAAGGCTTTCAACAACTTACAAACTTTCGCGTTAGGTGCGTTTAAACCATGAGGTGGTTTCATGTAAACCACATCATTCAAGGGACTGGCAAGAAATGCAGACTTCACATCAAGTTGATGAAATTTCATGTCACGTTCCACAGCCAATGACAATAGAACTCTCAGCGTGAACATACGAGCCACTGGCGAGTAGGAATTTTCAGTGTCCAACTCTGGTTGTTGGTATCCTCTTGCTACCAAACGAGCTTTCTTCACAGTTTGTCCATCCATCAATTTCTCGGTGAAAACCCACTTGGAATCAATGACAACTGCATTGGGAGGGCAATCCACAATCTCCCAAGTTTTGTTAGCTTT